TCCCTCAGACCCCTCTCAGCCCCCTCCGTTCTCCCTCAATCCCCCCCGACCGCTCTCACCCCCAACCCGAGGCCCCCCTCAGCCCCTCCCGTCCCCTCTCAGCCCGCTCTCCTCGCCCCGGTCCCTCACCAGGTCTCCCCCCCCCCATCGCGGCCTCCGGGCGAGCGCGTCCCCCGCCGCTACCGGGACCGGAACTGCGTCATCACACCGCGCCGACGTCGCCCCGCGCGTCACTTCCGGCAGCCGGCAAGATGGCGGCGCTAGGACGCAGCAGTGGGAGAAGAGGAGGGAGGGGCTTACGGGGGATGAGAGGGAGGGGGGAACGGGCGGGGCTGAGGGGGGCCTCGGGTTGGGGGTGAGAGCGGTCGGGGGGGATTGAGGGAGAACGGAGGGGGCTGAGAGGGGTCTGAGGGAAGGAAGGGGGGGGCGCTTAGACGGGCCGGGGTGGGTTGAGGGGGGCTGAGAGAGGATCGGGGAGAGGCTGAGGGGGGTTGGGAGGGGGAGCTGAGGGGAGTCGGGGGGTGTTGAGAGGGGCCAGTGGGGGATGAAGGGCCGGGGAGGGTGAGGGGGCTCAGAGGGGCTGGGGGAGGACGAGGAGTGTAAGGGGGATCCGGGGAGGGCCTGAGAGGGGATCGGGGAGAGGCTGAGGGGGAGCTGAGGGGAGTCGGGGGGGGTTGAGAGGGACCAGTGGGGGATGAGGTGCCAGGGGAGGGTGAGGGGGCTCAGAGGGGCTGAAGGGCGGGATGAGGGGCTGGGGGAGGACGAGGGGTGTAAGGGGGATCCGGGGTGGGGCTGAGAGGGGTCTGAGGGAGAGGGGTGCTGAAAAGGGTCTTATGCGGGGCTAAGATGGGGGGTGAGAGGGGTCGTGGAGGAACAGAGAGGGGCTCCAAGGCAGCCCTGGCGCTCCCTGGGCTCAGCCTCCCTGCCCGCCCTCGGTGCCAATCCCAATCCCAACCCCGTCCCGTGTGCCCCCAGAACTTGAAGAAGAGCTGGCACCCCCAGACCCTGCGCAATGTGGAGAAGGTGTGGAAGGCGGAGCAGAAGCATGAGGCCGAGAGGAGGAAGATCGAGGAGCTGCAGCGGGAGCTGCAGGAGGAGCGGGCGCGGGAGGAGATGCAGCGCTACGCCGAGGACATGGGCACGCTGCGGTCAGGGGGCTGGGGATCAGGGAATCGGGGACTGGGAGGGGCTGGGAGGGACCTGGGGGCACATCCAGTCCCACCCCACGGGCAGGGACACCTTCCCCTAGCCCAGGTTGCTCCAAGCCCTGTCCAGCCTGGCCTTGGATTTTCCTCAGCTGCTCTGGGGAATCCACTCCACCACCTCCCCACCCTCTCAGGGAGGAATTCCTTCCTGATATCCCATCCAAACCTAACTTTGCTTCACTTTGAATCCCTTCCCCCTTGTCCTGCCACTCCAAGTCCTTGTAAATAGTCTCTCTCCATCTTTCCTGAAGCTCCTCCAGGCACAGATAAGTCATCCCTAAACCTTCTCCTCTCCAGGCTGCACAATCCCATTTCTCCCAGCCTTTCCTCATAGGAGCTGCTCCATCCCTCTGATCATCTTGGTGCCTCCTCTGGACTCACTCCAGCAGCTCCATGTCCTTTCTGTGCTGAGGAAATAAAAATAATAATAATAATATTAATCATCATCATCAGCTCCATGTCCTTTCTGTGCTGAGGAAATAATAATAATAATAATAATAATCTCCATGTCCTTTCTGTGCTGAGGAAATAAAAATAAAAATAATAATAATAATAATAATAATATTAATCATCATCATCATCATCCCCATGTCCTTTCTGTGCTGAGGAAATAAAAATAAAAATAATAATAATAATAATAATATTAATCATCATCATCATCATCCCCATGTCCTTTCTGTGCTGAGGAAATAAAAATAATAATAATAATAATCCCCATGTCCTTTCTGTGCTGAGGAAATAAAAATAATAATAATAATAATAATCTCCATGTCCTTTCTGTGCTGAGGAAATAATAATAATAATAATAATAATAATAATAATAATAAAGCATTTCTACTCACCTTAAACCTTACGTTTTAAGCTTTAAACTGTACCTTCAGAACTGCAAGGAGGAAAATAAATGGGTTTTGTTTTTTTTTTCCAACAGGAAAAGGGAAGAGAAGCTGGAGTGGATGTACCAGGGCCCCGGGGGGATGGTGAACAGGGAGGAATATCTCATGGGGCGCCCTGTGGACAAGTTCATCTTCGAGAAGGCCGAGGACAAGGAGGCAGGATGTTCCAGTGAGACTGGGCTGCTCCCAGGATCCATCTTTGCCAAGTCTGGGGCCAATTCCGTGCTGGACATGGCCAACAAAATCCGGGAGGACCCGCTCTTCATGATCAGGTGCTGGGAGGGAGCTCCAGGGAGGGAGGCCCTGGCTGGGAACTGGGCTGTGGGGCTTAGAAACACTGCAGAGACATGTTTATATGTGTATTTTAATTTATACATGTTAGAAATGCCTTTAAATTCGAAAATTTGGGGCGTCTGTCAATTTTTATAAATGCCTTTACATTTTTGTAAAGGTATTTATCCTGTCAATTTTTATAAATGCCTTTACGTTTTTATAAAGGTATTTATCCTGTCAATTTTTATGAATGCCTTTACATTTTTATTAAGGTGTTTATCTTATAAACATTTATCTTAAGAGACATATTTATCTTAAAAACATATTTATCTTAATATTTATCTTAAAAGGCATTTTCATGCATGTCTTTAAATTTAGGGATTTTATAAATGTCTTTAAGTTTATAAATGTCCACAGATTTTTGTAAATGCCTTTACATTTTTATAATATATTTATCTTCTAAACAGTGGAAAGACATTTTTATACGTCTTTAAATTAATTTGGTTTGTAAATGTCTTTATAAATGTCTTTATAAATGTCTTTATAAATGTCTTTATAAATGTCTTTGTCTTTCTTTAACTTTGTACCTTTAACTTTGTTAATATCTTTATGTTTTTAAAAAGGTCTTTACCCTATAAACAGTGTAAAGACATTCTTCACATTTATTGAAATATATAAAAACAAATGTATTAAAAATAAGCACCTGGCATTTTAGGCAGGTTGATGGTAACAAATCTTTGTTTGTCCTGCTTTTTGCACCTTAAATG